ATAAAGGAGTCACGAGTTGACCTGAGAATCTTCTAGCGGTGCCACATGCCGACTTGAAGCGTCACTTACCGAGAGAATGGGTAAGACGCTTGTTGATCACATCTATTTGAATCGGCTCTATCTTCTCGAAGACCTCGAAGCCGGGAATTTTAGATCCAAAAAAGAACTGCTCGGATATGACTTAGATCGGCTCGGCCCATGCTATACCACAAGGGTAGAGACTACCTTCTTGTTCGCTTCGTCGAAGCTGAGATGCGGGTGGTTCTTGACCTCATCCACAAGGCTGGGGTGGAGCACGATGGTTGGATCGGAGGCTGCGACCAGTTGAAAGACCTTTCTGCCCTATATCGAGTCCCTATTAGCGCATGGTACAAGGCACCTGTGAGAACTCTACCCTATTTGTCCTGGGCTGAACAATGCACGAACCTGGCTGAACCCCTCCTCGAAGAGCTCCTTGGCGGATGTCACGAATCGCTGCTTAGCCTTGCTGTTCGAGAGCTCCCATCTGCTTTTCCCGATCAGGGGAATGTTTCTGTAAGGAAAGCTTTCAGTGGACTCCTGAGAAAATCTCAACACAAAGACCAAGAGAAGGGCCACGACTGCGCCTTGCAGCAGATGGTAGCTTTCCAGCTGCTCGATGATGAAAGCCATTGTTGACTGGCTGAGTGACTGACATTTGACAGAACAAGGGAGAGCGACAAGGTTTAAGTAAGAGGATACGTCGGGTTGACATCGCTTCCTCGAGCACGGATCTCAAGCTTTCTTGGTAGCCTGGGCAGGCTGCTTGCCAATCATGAGTCGTTCACTGATTCCATCGCTAGCAGCCCGTCGATAGGGTGTCAGACTCGGATGCGAAAGCTTCAAAGCTATCGTGGGCCCTGTCTAGGACTGGATCCACTCGATACGCCCAATACGTTGAAGGCCTCGAGCCAATCTGGATCCTATACCGTTGCAATGGCGAGTCAGCGACTGGTCGCTGATTGGAGCACGACAGATGAGTTATGGTAGATCAGATAAAAAGACAGACAGGCGCTGGTAAGATTGCTGCCTGCAAAGCCTAAATTTGTTCCAAAGTTTCGATAAAACTCGATGATAGGCGCGGGGATCACCTAGCAGGGCACATTGGATGTGCGGCGGTTGGGTGTCGGAGTAGGAATTTGATTTTTGGATGTGGACGATGTGGACTGGAATATCATGAATCGAGGCTCGATAATTGGACACAACAAAGAAGGTCCTAGAGTGTGAGGTCTATTAGACGAGGTTTCAACAGTTGGCAAGTCACTGTAGGTAGGGAGGTAGGTACCTGATCGTTAGGATAAGTACATGAGTAGGAGAAAAGCGGGTCTGGCCGTCTTTAGTTATATTGAATTGGTCCCATGCTATTTGTCCGCTCGTGTGCAGAGGTGGTTCAGTGTGGATCCGTCCATGGATGGATCCAGCCTGGAGGATGAAGGGAACGTGCGATGTGGTCGATCACCGTACTCGAATACGCCCGCGGCTGCCTCAGCTTCTCACTCGGCTCCTTTCCGTGCCGCTGTCTTTTTCTTCCCAACTACACTGACTACACTGACTACACTGACTACACTGACTACACTGACTACACTGACTACACTGGCCACACTGGCGCAGACACGGCACAAGGATCCGAGATTCCAAGCCTAGATTCCAATAAAGCCTAGAGCCCTCGCCTAACCTAGAGTAACTACATGAGAAGTTACTAATTATCCTAAGGACCTGACATTGATTGCCCGATGTCAGCAACAACACCAAGCTTGAAACTTCCTCACGAACTGACCAGTGGGATGGGCTTCATGGAGGAGCAGTGGGTGCTGTCATCTCTTCCTTACTCCAAGCATGAACACACAAGGCCATGGTGTATCTCTAACTCTCTCAGACTGCCACTCCCGCGCGAGGACACTTCTTCCGATGCTCGCAGCTTAAAAGAAACACCTTATCCGAATTAACTGAACTCGGCATCTGTGGGGGTTTTCATGTTCGTTGGTCGGGATGATCATCTTCTGCCCTCACTTGTTGGTTCCGGCAGGTGGAGGGGACATCATGGAGCCGACGTACAATGCAACACCACAAACCGAGGCGAACCCCGCGTCGTCCACGCAATCAATATACGTACGAAAGAACAGGCACCAACTTGGCAGCTGAGTATAAAGATGATCCAAGACCAACTCTCACCAGCAACTTTAGGGGTAGCATAACTCTTAACAGATTTTCTTTGCCATTTATACTCTCCCGAATCGCACCTTCAGACTGAATCATGGCATCTCTATCGCTCAGGCAGTTTCTCGAGTACATTTGAGCCTTCAATGCCAAAGACTACCAGAAACAACACTCCTTCTACCACCCAGATGTCCGTCTTGTCCTTCCCGACCCGGAGGTGGGAACCCTCGTAGGGTCCGAAGGCATCATGAATCACTATGCTGTACTTCATGCCACCGCGGAGGAGACCGTCGTCCCCATACTGGTCATGGTTGACCAAGGGCACATTTTCTTCGTTATGGAGACATATTTTCTCTACCGCCAGGCCACAGACCGCGCTGTCCACGGGTACAACGCACAAGCCGGAGATGTGATCAAGGTCACCGTGTGGGCACTGTACGACATGGACGGTGGAAAAATGAAGCACATTACTTGCAACGGGCTCCACCATGAATTCCTTGGCACGGCGGATGTGAATCTACGGATCAACGAGAGCTGGAGTCGAGCAGACAGTACGGTCAAGCGTTGCTGGGGCTCTGCTTCGCTGCTCTAGAAAGTATTCGTGCTCCGACTAAAATACTGGAAATCATACTCATACATCGTTCATTATTAATAAATCACTTCCTACCATAGTATACACATCATCAACCCACAACCTTAAACTACAAACGCACCAACCTCACGACCCACAAACCAACCCTTCCCTTTGATAATCTCGAAACACATCCTCCGGCGACCCCTCCGCCGTGCCCAACCTCTGAAACCCTTTACGCATCGACTCTTTCCCATCTTTCTTCTTCCTCTTGTTTGGCGCCATCCACCCCTTTGGACTACCCATCGCCGACGCCGCCGTCGCAAACTGCAGCCGCCGCCTCACCCGCGACGCCAGCCCGAGCTTTTTGGCCGTGGCCTTCCGGGAGACGATCTCCACGCACGGCGACGGCTCCTCTTCTGTTTGTTCTTCATCATTATCGTCCTCGTCCTCGTCCTCAGCGCACAGCGTGTTTCGCCGCTGGTGAGTGAATGAAATGCTCTCCGGTAGGTAGATCCTATGGTGGTGGGTCGTGGAACTGGACGCCGTCCGCGACTGTTGGTGACTTAGGAGGGGTCTTCTGTACGAGCTGCTGCTCTTTCGGGATCGGGGTTGTGTGATTGCTGCTGCCGCTGGGGTGGGCCACAGGGGGTGTTGTTGCTGGGCGAGCTGTTTCTTGGACGTTTTGGTCTTGATGGGGCTGAATCGTTTGCGACCCGGGGGCTGAGTTACCTTACGGGTTAGTGTCTTCTTGTCAGGAAACGGTGAGATGTATTGTCTAAGAAGGGTAGATGTTTGTTAAATAGCGAAGTTGCGCAGTGAGCTGCAACCTGTATATAGTAGTTCCGTACCGGGTTTGGTGGTGTCTCCGGGAGACGATGCGTAAAGCAGCCGTCCTCATCCTTGAAGCGGGACTGTTTCGCCTTGCTGGGCGAGGATTTGAAGGGCGAGCTGACCCTCATGGCTGTCAGGCGGCCGGTGATTTCTGGTCTGCTTGTCTGTGGTGGTGGGTGGTGAGATGTCTTGGAATGTGTAGGAGTCGGTGGGGGCACATGGTGGTGCTATTGCATAAGACCTTGATGACAGATGTCAGAAACAACGGGCAGAGAGGAAGAGAGGGAGGGTGTGTCGGGCTGTGTCGAAAGGGCCTCCTTGCTAAATACTTGCTTGGGGGTGTGTCTGGACCATTCTTTGGATGTTGTTGTGGCATAAAATTGCATTTCGGGAGGAATGTAAATAATGCAAGTCGGTTTTGTGTCGGTCTCTGGTCGTGGATCGGGCTATCATGTTGGAGGAAGATGAGATTCAGGTCTAGCGATGAGTAACGTGATTGTTTGTTTTCAATATCCACGAATGGATACAATAGCTAATGGTGCGGTTGACAGAAGTCTGCCACACATTGGACCGGAAACTTGTCAAATGAGTTGCGGACATTCCTCGCCGATCCCAAGCATGGTGTTCAAGTCAATAGACCCCGCATTCTCCGGATGAAAGAACCGACCTACTGTCTCGCTTCAATTATCCACTACTTGCTGGACGAAGTAGGTGAGGAAGTGCCTCTCCTATACTAGCTGTCGTGGTTGTGCTACTGTTGCCCTCCCAGAAGGTCCGCGCTTGCTGTGGATATATTGATGAGTCAGTAGACGATAATAGCTGTTATTGATTATACGTGCTGTAAAACAGTCACTCTAAATCGTCCTTAGCAGATGGTGGTCGTGCCGTTACTCGTAGTATATAGATCCATCCATAGCAGTACAACAAGCCTTGTTCAGACTGGCTCCGCCGCGAACTGACAAGCTCAATGCTTTTCAACTACGAGACATATAAGCATTCAAGCCCTTGGTCTCTGACATCGAGCAAATCAAACTCCTTATCTCGAGTTATGTAGTGGTAGCAAATACTTGAGTATTTCATGGAGTAATAGCCAATCAATAAGTTCCGAGAACGATTACATCAAGATGAACCGATGGTGGGTGGCGACATGACGTGAAGCTGCTTGCTCGACAGACCCAGGTACAGCTCCTCGTACAAAAAGGATACTGAACTTAGCAAGCGTGAACTCAACAATCTCCCCTACTGAAGATCCAGTGACTTATACAGCAATAAATTGCAACCTCACGCCTAATTCCCTTTGTAATCCCGCACCAGCTACTATATATCACTCCCGACCCGAAACGTCACCACCCTACACCAACAACACCCCCAACCCCAAAAACAAACCAACTACCACAAGAATAAGAGAAAATACTACAAAATGACCGAAACAAGCCCCATCTACAACCTCATAGCCGCCATGGACGCCGAAGACGACGCCACCGCCCACAACACCACCGCCGCCCCGGATGACGACGACGCCACAACCGACTACGGCGCCCGCGCCGTCCGCAGCGCCGCCATCCCAGCAAACGAGGCCGGCGAAAACCGCCTCGTGGACCATGTCTCCGTCCAGGTCTCCGCGCCGAGAGAGGATCCAATGGTGTCGCGTCGCCGGCGGCAGGAGATGTCGACGGCCGGGGGCGGGTATCAGTTGCGGGAGGTGGAGGAGCGGGCGGATGGGTCGAGGCGCGTGCATCGCGAGTACGAGGATCCGGCCACGGGGGTGACTTATGTGCGGGATTTGGATGGGTGATTGTTTTCTGCTGGGAAGGAGGAGGGGGGCGAGGGATTTGGGAGTGGGGATCGTTTTTGGGCAAGGAGTTTACGGGATAGTATGATAACTATATGTCAGGTTGGAGAACAATGTCGAGTATAGCAGTAGCGTCTGGACGGAGGGACGTCTGAACTCTCTGGACAAGCTCACTCAAATGGGAATTCAGGGTCTGTGACGCTACCTCCGAAAGTGACAGACCTAACCTTCGATACGAATACAGTCCACTGTGACCAATCCATTCAATTCAAGCTTTTGATATCCCTTCCCTCCTGGCTCACAAAAGATAGAAGGGAGTCAAGAAACATATAATTAACTCCAGCCCATGCTATGCCTAAGCGCCATATTACGAAAGTCCACACACACGAAGGGGGAATCCCCTGACAAGAAGAAGAAAAGAACCACCGAGCAAAAAAACCTCCAGGAGACGGCGAAGCCAGATTAAGCCTCTCCATCCGACGTCTCCTCCTTCGACTTGCTCTTCTTCTTCTTTTTCTTTTCCTTCCGGTCCGAGGCGTCGGCATCCGCCTCCAACTCCGCAACCTCCGACTCGCGCTTCCGCTTCTTCTTCTCCTTCTTCTCCTTCTTTTCCTTCTTGGCCTTCTCGGCCGCCTCGAGCTCCTCGGGCGCCACGAACGCCTTCTCGCGCTCCTTCATCTTCTCCTCCCGCTTCACCCGCTGTCTCTCCATGATCTCCTCCTTCTGCGCCCGGTCCTTGGCCTCCTTGGAGAGGAAGTACTCGCCGGACTCGATCTGCAGATCCACCTTGCTCTTCTCCGGGGCCGGGGGGAAAGGCGTGTACACCTTCTTCGTCTTGTCCGTGACCTTGAACGGCATGCGACGCTTCGACAGGGTGCGCTTCTTGAAGTTGGGCAGGAACCGGTCCCACGACTCTTCCGCCAACGAGGGATCCTTGGCCAGCTCGCGCTTGATCATGAGCTCCTTGATGTGGTAGATCGGGTGGATGTTGGCCATGCAGTCGTTGATGACCTTGCGCACTTCCTTCAGCCCCTTGTAGGGTCCCATCGCGGCGACCGTGTTACCCTGCACCAGGATGTAGGTGCCGGTGAGGAGCTCGAGCGCCTTGAGGGTGGAGCCGCCGGGTCCGAGGATACGTTGGCGGCGCTTGACGAAGCGCTCCTTGTTACGGACTTGGTTGCGGATCTTGATAACGTCGCATGCGACTTCGTCGTCGAGAATCTTCAGGGCCTGGAGGATACTGCCAATCAGCGAGAAGTTTCTTATTTTTGCATGTAGCGTCGGCGACAGGAATATTTCCTACCTGTTGCACCGGGACACTTCTGGACAGAAGCTTGATCAAATCGCGCGCCTTGAGAATGGCAGCAGGATCAAAGGTCTTCCGCGTCGTCTTGACCGTCATGCTACCCTCGACCAAATCGAGGGTACAAGCAATGCCATATTTCTCCAGGGATCTCGTCACGAGGGGCCAGGCCTCCTTGAGATACTGTTCGCGGTACTTGGGGAACAGAGTCGCAAACGAGGATTCCTCGGCGAAACTACCGGCGACATTGTCTTCGGCGTTGAAAGGTTCGACCTGGTCGCAGAGTTGCGAGGTTAGCATGCGTTTTTGTCGCCAGTACATCTCGAAAAATCTTTTTCTTTTCTTTTCTTTTCTTTTTTTTGGTATGGGATCATTGCACCAACCTTCCATTTGTCGATATCATCCGTATCCCACGGCTTATCTCTCTTGTATGTGGAGGGCATGTTGAGTCCTATTTGCGACAAACAGAGAGGAAGACTCTGGATGGATCTGCAATTCGATGCAAAGAATGATTGATGATCGAATTGGCGGCCAACTTTTTCTGAGGCGCTTCCGCCCCGCGGGCACTTACCGGTTTAGGTAGTGCTGGTGGCCAGGAACCCCAGGCCAACACAAGGCATCAAGAGAGTGGCTCCGGAGCCTGGAGCGATCGATCGAGGCTCAATATTTGTGAACATCAATCAGCTTGTCTACCATATTCGATTTCGTTACGTTGCCACACTACGTATGTACGGTATAGGGTACAGAAATTGTATCAATTTTGACTCTGTGCGCAGACAAGAACTTCCCCTTTTGCACAGTGAGCGCATCTCCACCCCTGATGTATCATAATCCCGTCGAAGCTATTTCATGACATCCATTGGAGCTGCACTGCTCAGTATGCAAGGCTTCTACTGCATCTATTCTATCAATTGTGTGTTTTGACGTTGCAGTTCAGGAGTACCGGAGCCGTGCGAAAGTTATTGGAACAAAAGAAACCGATAACGGTCTCATAGACCCGACGCAATGACTCGCGTGAATAATTGGTTCCTTGGCCGCGATTTAAAGTGCATTGAGCCGCCCAATAATGCTCAGGCAGCTTCGCAGCTTTGGTCGAGCACGGTATATATTGTACGTAGGCAAATAGAAAACTTGGAGATTGAGTCACAAGAATAGTTGACACAATTCGATCGATTGGTGTAAGGTCTTGCTTGGATCTGAGCTCTGGATGCACGAGTATTATCAGGAGTGAATCAGCAGGCTGGAGAGTTCACCTAGCCTTCCTGTTCTTCGTGGAAACTATTGTTGCTAGGCTATGGCTAAGGGAGGGAGCGAGCCCTGATCAGCCATTCGTAACTTGCCTGAGAACGAGCTTGAACACTCAGTCAGCATCTTGATCAAGTTCCCAAGGGCACTTGAGCCACTAATCGCATCAATGACAATGTGGGTCGCGGGGTATGCGGACGAGCAAATAGACCTGTCAACGTCGTGGGAGGTGTTTGGTTAAGTGCATATTTAGACTCCTCAAACCAGCAAGGCGACCCGGTGTGTCTGGTTCCAAGTTCCGGACCCGAAGCGCCAAATCGTGGACAGTCCTCGAACCTTCCCTTTTCCCTCGCTGACTTTGCTTCCTCCCTTGCCTGAACTTCTCCCTTATCTCGGTTGCAGTCTCATTGTCATTCTTTCGTATTAAGAATCAATATGATTCAAATCAGGTGTGCCGTTTCTGCGGACTCCCATGGCGCACTTCAAGATAGTGCGTCATCGATGTCCTTCTATCTTCGGGGACTTCGTGCAATCTTGCAAGCTGGTGGTTTTGCCAGCACATACTTGTCACAGACCCTTCGCTCAATTATGGCCAGCATGGTCGCAGAAAACCGAGATCATCTCGCAGTAGCAGACTTTATGCACACTGCTTTCGTTTTCTTCGAGTCGAGTTGAACAAGAAAGGCCATTCGACTGTGTATTCACCAACGAAGCCCGTCGTATGAGCGTGTAACTGTATTCGATCAGCACGCTACACCACAGACTCAAAAAGGCCTTGTAAGAGCTGTCCCCTGTCATAAGCCAATACCTATGATAGATAGTTGGCTCTTTACCTGCGCCAAAAGAGATCGACGTGGTGCTCGCTCGCGATTATCTCAAGACCCCACGACCAGCCCCCAACTCAAATTAGGAGATAAAAGCACGGGCGGATTCAATCTCGAGTCTTCAATTCAACTGCTTATCTAGAACAAGTATCAATTTGTCTGAGCGAACAGCGAAGGCTCGCCCCTTATGACCAGTCCGTCCATGGAAACTCGAGTACAACAAGCGGCTTGAGACCAGCTCCGGACCAGAGCAGAATCATTGACAAACGTCACGGCTGTAGCCCCGAATGTCTACCGAGGCTTCCTCCCAATACAAACATACCTAAGACGTCAGCGCCCAACTGACAGCGCAGTGGAAACGAGCTACTTACAGTGGAAAGTAGGCTTTCAGGCCCGGTCTTCCTGCTTCTTCCTGTGCTCTGGAAATCATTCGCTGAAACTCTTCATAAGGCATTCTCAGACGTTGAGTCATCGGATACAACGCCAATGCTGATAGCAGCTGTTTGGTACACTCGAGGTTGGCTGCACCTATGTCCCGTGCTCTTGGATCTAGTCTGGTATCAGTTCCATGATATACGATTCTCATGCATTGGAAGATTTACCACTGGACCACCCAGAGAGAGGAAGAGGGATCATTTTTGCGTCCACCTGTTCCATTCCTGCTGCCACCATAAGGTCTCTCAAGTGCGTTCCTACACGAAGGTCCTTTGTATCATTCAACGACTGCATGAACTTGGTGCTCCATTGTCTCAACGCATGATCCTCGGTGAGGGACCCATTGTCTGATTGCACATTGAAGTACATCTCCACCATCTGGACCCAGCCACCCGGCTTCAAAACTCTAGTTTTCTCACATAAAAGTCAGCTTATGGCGTCAAAAAAGAAATCAACGATTCCATGACCCTTTCGCCACATGCCAGACCTCTTGATATCCCAAATATAAGACAGCCATCTGGCTCGGTCAATGCCTGTCGCTTGCATCCTCGAATGAACGAGATCGAAATGATTCGACGGAAAGGTAAAGGGGCGATTCAGATCGTCGACCTACAACGCCTTCCATCAGCATTTTCTGACGCAAACGCCATGGGAAGGTATCTGGTAAGCAAGCCAAAAAAAAAAAAAAACCTCATTAGACGGAAGAAGGGTTCTCATCGACTGGTATGCCGAATGACTTTTCTCCAGACCCAGGGTTAGGAGTCGTACCTGAAACCATAGATTGTCCGGAGCATAATCAGGGCTCATCTGGGGCGATATGTCGACCCCAATGACCTTCACACAGTGGTTAGCGAAACTGAGTGTCGAAGGTGATGTATGTGGCCCGACCTCGCACTGTGGATATTGCTCCGCTACTTCGACCGCCCAAGCTCCTGTACCGTGGCCGCAATCGAGAATCCTTTCGGGGTTGTCGCTCGGCAGGGGTGGGAAGATGAGCCGGTCGTCAAATGCCTTATTGAAGACTTGGTGTTGAAGTTCGAGACGTTCCACTTCATCCTAGGATTTTCGAGGTCAGTGACGCACGGATTTGCGGCGGAGGTCCCTGATTATACATCGTCCACCGGCTGAAAATAGATTTTGTGTTCGATGGAATATCTCTGGAAATCGCGATCATGGACTGTGATGAGCTGAAGAAA